CCTTGACGCCACGCGAATCTCAGCAGGCAGCACAAGCTGAGACGCCGCAGCTCCGCAGCCGCCGCAGCCGCGAGGAAACACCGAAAGAACTCTCGCTGCCAGGAGCGCTGTTCCCCCTCCTGCGAGGGCGGGGGGGCGAGCCTCGCACGGATCACTCGGGGGCTCGCATTACCATCCACACCTCTAGCGCTTTGGGAAGCTCGAGCCCGACACTATCCGCCGTGTTCGGCCTCCAGGGGCCCCTGCTGGGCCCTGGGGCCGTCAAGGAGCAACGGCAGGTTCGCGCCGTGTCGGCCCCCTGCAAGGCTGGCTCCTGACACAGCGGGGATCGTTCCTGACACCGCGGGAACCGTTCAACGCTGAACGATCGGCCGTTGCAGAAACGCCGGATCGTTCAGCGATGGGCCGGCTCTGGGTCGCCGGCGACGTTCCACGTCGAACGCCGGTGGCGGGGTCGCCGATCGGACGACACGACGCGGGCTTACCGCACTCACAACGGAAAAAACCTCCCTGGGGAAACGGCCAGGGCGCCAGGGGGCCGCGCATGGATCAGTTTGTAAATCCGCGGGCGCCAACTGTTCCAGGACAGCCAGGCGCCAGTCAGCAAGCGGTGGGGCGCACCGGGAGCGAAGTGAGGCACGAGGCCGAAAAGGAACAGAGCGCGTATTCGGGGCTCGGGTCCAGGTGTCGTCGGAAGACCATGGTGGGCGAGTCTTGCTCAGCTCAGGCCCTGGCGGATCTTATTAATCATTTGTGTATATATGTATATGTTATATATATATGTCTATATTTTTGTGTGTGTGCGTGTGTTCATTCAAATCCGCCACCGTGCCTCGAGAAACGAAGTGTCGTCACTGTGTCCTCAGGTCCGCAAGTGTCCCCTGTTATCTGCACGCACGACCCTGGGATTATGGTTTTCGAAGCCTGGGGCTCCAAATTCTCAAATTTCCCGGGCGTTCCCGCGCGTTCCCGGACTGCCTCGCATGACGGTTCCAGAGGCCGGAGGGCCCCAAGACGGGTCGAAAGGGCTCCAGAAAGCGCGCAAGAGGATCCAAGCGGCCTCCAAGACAGCCCAAGAGCGCTCCAAGGCAGCCCAAGAGCGCTCCGAGACGCCGAAGATGGCTCCAAGACGGCCCCAAAGGAGCCCCAAGAGCGCTGCAAGAGGACCCCCTAGAGGGCCCAAACAGGCAAAAATCAATGATTTCAAATGTTTTCGATGTTGTTTGCGTTCTCCCGTCTTCGGGCTTCCCATGCTCCAAGATGGCCCCCAAGGTTTTCAAAAACGCCCCAAGACGGCCCAAGATGTACCCAAGACGGCCCGCAAACGTTCCAAGATTACCCCAAAACGGCCTGGCCCCAAGGGAGACCCAAGAGGGGGAACACGAATCGACAATTCGACTCTTACGTCCCAAGAGGGCCCCGAAAGGTCCAAGAGGCCCTCAAGAGAGCGAAGAGACCTCCTAGAGGCCCCACGAGTCCCCTGAGAGGTTGGAAAAAAGAGGCCACAAGAAACCCCAAACGGCCCCCAAGGGGCCTCAAAACTGCCTCCTAGAAGCCCCGAAAGGCCTCCCACGATATCCAAACGAATATCCAAGAAGCTGCTAACCCACAACCCAGGCACGGTGGCGGGGGCAGACGGCTACTATAATAAATTCGAAAGACGTTTGGCGTGTTCAGGGGCCCCCCCTAGGCGCCACGGCGGCCCCACAACGGCCCCCAAACTGGCAAAAACGGCTCCGACAAATCATCCACGCTGCCCCACAGCTGCCCCGCAAGTTTCCAAAATCGTTCTCCGCCCCCGCGTTGACGCCCGAGATGCCTCCAAAACGCCTCCAGAGAGTTCCAAGGCGACTCCCAAAGAGGGCTCCATCAAGCGAAAACCGCAACATTCCCTTAGGATATACCCTGCGTTTTCAGCAGATTATTTGTCTTGTTTCGAAGCGTCCACGACGGTTCCAGGGGCATCCAAGATGGCCACGAGAAGGCCCCTAAACGATTGCAGACGGGCCCAAGACGGCCCAAAAAGGAAACGACCCCATTGGACCCAAACTGGGGTCAGAGAAGAGCCCAAGACAGCCCAAAATGGCCCAAGAGGCGAAAGAGATTGTCCAAGACCGCCCCAAACGGTTCACGAGGCGCCCGACCCGGCTCAAAAGGACCCGCGAGGCCCCCACGGAACGCACTAGAGCACCTGGGGATGGGGGAGCTCCCACTCGGCCCCCTAGTGGCCGTCAAACTGCTTGCATGAGAGAGGGGCGGACTAAAGGCGAGAGGCCCCTCGCGGTCGCATCACACAATTGTTTTACAATCTGGATGCAAGTTGTTTGTTGGAAGACGACAACCGTGAAGACGACGAACGACACGCTGTCGCTCCACATGATCGGCGGCGAGTGAAACAGACGATGTGCAGCGACATCTTGGTTCGGAGCTTCGCGTGCACAACATCCCAAAACATCAGCCCCACTGCGATCCTTACTTCCGCGACGCTTCTCCGACTGCTCCGACGCAACTCGAGAAGACGCCGCGGTTGCCCTGGCCCGCTCTCGCGTCCGCCGCGATCCGGGCGCGAATCTTCCAACGTGGCTCGGGCCTGCACTATGGAACCCTTGCTTTCGCGAAGTTCGAACACTTCGGCACCCGCATCAGTGCATCGGGCGCTGTCAGTGGGAGAACACTAGAACAAGCTTCAAAGGCACTACAGCAAAAGCTGACAACCTCGCACACTTCAGCGCGCGCTGAGACACCTCGATCCGCTCACCTCCGGAAAAGTAACCCACTGGTTCACATTCGCGAGCACAGCTGTGTATGTATATGTGTGTGTGTTGATATACGTGTCTATAGACATGTTTGCTGTACAAAGCACCAATACGAAAAATCGATTTACCTATATGCATCTACAGATGCTTATACACGTGTACATCTGTATACATTTACACCTATTATATGTAATACATATATGTATATATATACCGATGTGAAATCAAGAAGTTCCTGGTCGTGATTCTCGGAACCATCTGCCCTCCTTCCTGGCCAAGGCCGAAAAAAAAACAATCCTCAGCAACATGGTGCGGCCGCTGCAGGCTGGGCACTCACCTGTACGTTCTGGGCTGGCCTCCACGCAGCCGCGTTGTAAAGAGAGCACTTCCTTCTTCTCATTTTATAACGGGAGAACAAGACACTTCATGAATAGAAATGTTGGAGGTCCGAGCGACTCTCAGGAATCGGCGCCGGCCGCATCCAGCGATGCCGCTGGCGCGCTTCGCGCGCCAGGGGGGAGGGGGTCCAGCGCAGATCCGAGAAATTCGCGCGGACCGCCGAAAAGCTATGTTCATGGTTCCCTGTCTAGGCTTGCCTGCGCAGTCTTGCCTCGCTACAGATGCCTGGGGCGTGCCCTTCCCGTAATCCTTGCGAAGAGGCGTCCAAACCTTGAACCACGATACCCTCCTCCTCCTACTCCTCCTCATCCTCCTCCTCTCTACTATCATCACCTCCTTAGCATTATCAGCATCATCTTAATCGTCATGCTCGTGGCGCCGCACCTGCTACCCAAGGGCCGCGAAACGAGAGGTAGGGAACGAAGCCCCTGTTTGGCACCAGAAGCTCATGGGTGCACGAGGATGGCTTGAGGAACATCCACGGAATTACCTAAGGAACAGCGAGCCCCTGCGAACCCAGAGCGGTTCTTAATTCTGCGTCTTGGCAGTACTCATCGACCTCCTCCCGACCTTCATCGTCACCTTTGCCACCATCATCATCATCTCACCATTCCCATCCTGCCGCATATGCCTCCCAGGACGCCGAAGGCAGCACCACTGCCTCCACCTCGCCCTCCCCTGCTCCTGCCCATGAGGAGAGGGGGCGAAGACGACGAGGTCGCGGAGAAGAGAGGGGGTAGGAGGAGTTTGACCTTTGCCGTCCTCCTTTGTGGGGGGACTGTGGTTTGCGCTGCCCTCTGTAATGGAGGGCTGCTTGCTCCGCCTCCACCTCCTCCTTGGACGACGGCGGCGAGGACGACAACGACGACCACGCGTGGGACGTGTGTGATTCGCTCATGGGTGGTCGGAGATTCGAGGACCAGGTCGACGAAGACGACGAGGTCGGAGGAGATCAATCTTGCTTCTCATTTTCAAGCCTGTGGGGGGTGGGGGCTCGTCGTCGCGGCTGGGTTCTGGTTCCAACCGCAATCACCAAGATGATCCTGATCCTCGCCCTCTGACGTACTTAGGGGGAACAAGCGCCATAACCATAAACTTGTGACGCTGCGCGCGGATTTCACGGATCCGCGCCGGACCCCCCCCCCTTGCGCGCGGAGCGCGCAAGGGGGGGCCCAGGCGCCGATCCAAAAAATACGCGCGGAGCGCCGAAAGTTTACGGGCATGGCGTTTTTTCTTCTTCGGCTATTTACCCGCCCATGGTGAAGAGGCCGTGGGACACACAAATAAATACACACTAATAACAGGATTCCCAATATTTTCAAATATTTTCTCGGTTTTCGTCTTCCCCCCCACACCACTTCCGATATTTTCCCATATTTCCCGGGGAATCGACGATTAATTGTGTCTGTGTGTTTTTGTTTTCCTCCTGACATGGGGAGGATCCCGAGGAGCACACACGCATGCACGTGGAGGTGGGGGACGGGAGCGAGGATCCTCGCCCTCTCCTCCTCGTCCCCATCCTCACTCTCGCCCTCGTCTTAAGTCGGGCCTGTCCCCATACAGGGGGATTTCCGACGAAAAATAAAAAATACCCCCCCCAAAAAAATAGTCCAAAAATAGTCTGGTGACTATTTTTGGAATATTTCTGGCCTTTTTGGAATATTTTTCGTCGGAAATCCACCTGTAGGAGGACAGGCCCGACTTAACCCTCGTCCTCCAGCCCCCCCCTGGCCCTGAAGGGGCTGGCACGCCGGGGCGCGGCAGGCGGCACCGGGGCCGTGCTCCGCAGGGACCCCCGCAGGCCGCGCAGCACCTCCGGGGAGACCAGGCCGGCAGTGGCGGCGCCGGCCGCCCCGGACGGGGCCTGAGGGCGGGCGCGCGGGCTCGCGCGGCGCTCGGCGCAGAGCAGGCGCGGCCTCGCCTCGCCGAGCTGCTTTCGGTCACGCGCCGGTGGTCAGGCGCTGGAAACATTCACGCAGTCGTCGTTGGCACAACGCGATGCATAGCAATGAGGATGAGCATCGTCGTCATCATCGTGACCGTCGTCAGAGTCTGAGCCTCACCACCGGCAGAAACTCTGAAGAGCCTCGTAAGGCCATCCAGAAGTCTCAGCGGCGCAGCGAGGCTAAAAAGGTGAAGACTTCAATTCGCCTGGCGAACGGCCCAACCATATGCAGCTCAGCGCAGTCGTAGGTATCACCTCCGGTGGAGCTCCTTATGGGGCCACGAGACGTGCGAGGGGTGTGCCGAAATGGGTGGCGGGCGCATGTGGACGGTGCCACTGGGGCCTTGTGGAGCTCCCCAGAGGGCAAAGAGAAACGTGTGGGGGACGTGCCGAAATGGGTGTGGCGGACGCATGTGGACGGTGCCACTGGGGCCTTCGGTGGAGCTTCCTGCGGGGCCACGCGAAGTGTGAGGGGTGTGTCGACGTGGGTGTGGCGGACGCATGTGGACGGTGCCCCGGGGGCCCTGGGTGGAGCTCCCTATGAGGCCACGAGGTGTGCCGAAATGTGTGGCGGAAGCATGTGGACGGTGCCACTGGGGCCTTCGGTGGAGCTTCCTGCGGGGCCACGCGAAGTGTGAGGGGTGTGTCGACGTGGGCGTGGCGGACGCATGTGGACGGTGCCACTGGGGCCTTGGGTGGAGCTCCCTACCGGGCTACGAAACGTTCGGGGTGTGCCGAAATTGATGTGGCGGACGCATGTGGACGGTGTGGACGGTGCCCCTGGGGCCTTCGGTGGAGCTCCCTATGGGGGCACGAAATGTGCGAGGGGTGTGCCAAAAAGGGTATGGCGGACGCACGTGGACGGTGCCACTGGGGCCTTGGGTGCTCCCAATAGAGACACGAAACGTGTGAGGGACGTGCCGAAAAAAATGTAGCGGACGCACTTGGACGGTGCCACTTGGGCCTTCGGTGAAGCTCCCTATAGGGCCACGACAGGTGAGGGGTTTGCCGAAATGGGTGTGGCGGACGGGACGGTGCTACTGGGGCCTTGGGTGGAGCTCCCTACGGGGCCACGAAACGTTTGGGGTGTGCCGAAATGGGTGCGGCGGACGCATGTGGACGGTGCCCCTGGGGCCTTGGGTGGAGCTCCCTATGGGGGCGCGACATGTGCGAGGGGTGTGTGTAAATGGGTACGGCGAACGCATGTGGACGGTGCCACTGGGGCCTTGGGTGGAGCTCCCAATAGGGCCACGGAACGTGTGAGGGACGTGCCGAAAGAGATGTGGCGGACGCATGTGGACGGTGCCACTTGGGCCTCTGGTGAAGCTCCCTATAGGGCCACGACAGGTGAGGTGTATGCCGAAATGGGTGCGGCGGACGGGACGATGCCACTGGGGCCTTCGGTGGAGCTCTCTATAGGGCCACGAAGCGCGTGAGGGACGTGCCGAAATTGGTGTGGCGGACGCAGGTGGACGGTGCCACTTGGGCCTTCGGTGGAGCTCCCTATGGGGCCACGAAACGTGTGAGGATGTCAAAATGGGTGTGGCGGACGCATGTGGACGGTGCCACTGGGGCCTTGGGTGGAGTTCCCTATGGGACTACCAAACGTGTGAGGGGTGTACCGGAATGGGTATGGCGGACGCATGTGGACCGTGCTACTGGGGCCTTCGGTGGAGCTCCCAGTGGGGCCACGAAGCGTGTGCGGGGTGTGCCGAAATGGGTGTGGCGGACGCATGTGGACGGTGCCACTGAGGCCTTGGGTGGAGCTCCCTACCAGGCCACGAAACGTGTCAGGGGTGTGCTGAAATGGGTGTGGCGGACGCATGTGGACGGTGCTACGGGGGCCTTCCGTGGAGCTCCCCACCGAGCCACGAAACTTGTGAGGGTTGTGTCGACATGGGTGTGGCGGACGCATGTGGACGGTGCCCCTGGGGCCTTGGGTGGAGCTCCCTATGGGGGCGCGACATGTGCGAGGGGTGTGCGTAAATGGGTACGGCGAACGCATGTGGACGGTGCCACTGGGGCCTTGGGTGGAGCTCCCAATAGGGCCACGGAACGTGTGAGGGACGTGCCGAAAGAGATGCGGCGGACGCATGTGGACGGTGCCACTTGGGCCTTCGGTGAAGCTCCCTATAGGGCCACGACAGGTGAGGGGTGTGCCGAAATGGGTGTGGCGGACGGGACGGTGCCACTGGGGCCTTCGGTGGAGCTCTCTATAGGGCCACGGAACGTGCGAGGGACGTGCCGAAAGAGGTGCGGCGGACGCAGGTGGACGGTGCCACCTGGGCCGTCGGTGGAGCTCCCCATGGGGCCACGAAACGGGTGAGGGTGTCAAAATGGGTGTGGCGGACGCATGTGGACGGTGCCACTGGGGCCTTGGGTGGAGCTCCCTACGGGACTACGAAACGTGTGAGGGGTGTGCCGGAATGGGTGTGGCGGACGCATGTGGACGGTGCCACTGGGGCCTTCGGTGGAGCTCCCCATGGGGCCACGAAGCGTGTGCGGGGTGTGCCGAAATGGGTGTGGCAGACGCATGTGGACGGTGCCACTGGGGCCTTGGGTGGAGCTCCCTACCCGGCCACGAAAGGTGTCAGGGGTGTGCCGAAATGGGTGTGGCGGACGCATGTGGACGGTGCTACTGGGGCCTATGGTGAAGCTCCCTAAAGGGGCGCGAAATGTGCGTGGGGTGTGCCTAAATGGGTACGGCGAACGCATGTGGACGGTGCCACGGTGGAGCTCCCTATGGGGCCACGAAACGTGTGAGGGACGAGCCGAAAGAGATGTGGCGGACGCATGTGAACGGTGCCACTTGGGCCTTCGGCGAAGCTCCCTATAGGGCCACGACAGGTGAGGGATGTGCCGAAATGGGTGTGGCGGACGGGACGGTGCCACTGGGGCCTTCGGTGGAGCTCTCTATAGGGCCACGAAGCGCGTGAGGGACGTGCCGAAATTGGTGTGGCGGACGCAGGTGGACGGTTCCACTTGGGCCTTCGGTGGAGCTCCCTATGGGGCCACGAAACGGGTCAGGGTGTCAAAATGGGTGTGGCGGACGCATGTGGACGGTGCCACTGGGGCCTTGGGTGGAGCTCCCTATGGGACTACCAAACGTGTGAGGGGTGTACCGGAATGGGTGTGGCGGACGCATGTGGACCGTGCTACTGGGGCCTTGGGGTGAAGGCCCCATGGGGCCACGCAGCGTGTGCGGGGTCTGCCGAAACGGGTGTGGCGGACGCATGTGGACGGTGCTACTAGGACCTCCAGTGAAGCTCCCTATGGGGCCACGAAACTTGTGAGGGTTGTGTCGACATGGGTGTGGCGGACGCATGTGGACGTTGCCCCTGGGGCCTTGTGTGGAGCTCCCTATGGGGGCACGAAATGTGTGAGGGGTGTGCCGAAATGGGTGTGGCGGACGCATGTGGACGGTGCCACTGGGGCCTTCGATGGAGCTCCCAATAGGGCCGCGAAACGTGTGAGGGACGTGCCGAAAGAGATGTGGCGGACGCATGTGGACGGTGCCACTTGGGCCTTCGGTGGAGCTCCCTATGGGGGCACGACAGGTGAGGGGTGTGCCGAAATGGGTGTGGCGGACGGGACGGTGCCACTGGGGCCTTCAGTGGAGCTCTCTATAGGGCCACGAAACGCGTGAGGGACGTGCCGAAATTGGTGTGGCGGACGCATGTGGACGGTGCCACTTGGGCCTTCGGTGGAGCTCCCTCTGGAGCCAAGAAACGTGTGAGGGTGTCAAAGTGAGTGCGGCAGACGCATGTGGACGGTGCCACTGGGGCCTTCGGTGGAGCTCTCTATAGGGCCACGAAACGTGTGAGGGGTGTGCCGGAATGGGTGTGGCGGACGCATGTGGACGGTGCCACTTGGGCCTTCGGTGGAGCTCCCTCGGGAGCCAAGAAACGTGTGAGGGTGTCAAAGTGAGTGCGGCAGACGCATGTGGACGGTGCCACTGGGGCCTTCGGTGGAGCTCTCTATAGAGCCACGAAACGTGTGAGGGGTGTACCGGAATGGGTGTGGCGGACGGATGTGGACCGTGCTACTGGGGCCTTCGGTGGAGCTCCCCATGGGGCCACGAAGCGTGTGCGGGGTCTGCCGAAATGGGTGTGGTTTGGAACTCGACTCAGACAAAACAGTACTACTCAGGATACGGTCTGATGGAATTATTTTTGGGCCGGATGGTAAAGCAATTGCGATCAAGGACAATGCTGTTTATCTGGGTGGCCTCGTAAGCACAGACGGCAGACCACGAGCAGAGCTTACACGGCGCCTGGGAGAAGCAAAGTGCATATTTCAAAAGTTATGTACTGTTTGGAATCACGCCAATTTGACCAACAAGCGGAAAACACAGATATTGGAATCGTGTGTCTTTTCCAAGTTGTTATATGGGCTCGAGTCGTGCATGCTCCTCAAAACAGACAGAGATCGGATAGATGGTTTCCAAGCTAGATGTCTACGACGAATTTTGAAAAGTCTTCCCGCTTGGTTGTCTCACGTGAGCAACGCTGAAGTACGTGAGCGTGCGGACGTCCCGCCTTTGACATCGATTATGTTGGAAAGACAATTGAAACTATATGGCAAACTGGCCCGGACAGCGCCAACAGTCTACCGAGACAAATGGTGTTCGAAGCTGGTCAAACACATTCTTGTCTACCTCGAGATTGGAAGTCCCGGAGATCGAGAGGACGCCCCCGGATACAATGGACGACGTACCTACACGCTGAGGCCCTGGCAGTGGCGGGCAACGACCCTGGCACTTTACAAGCTCTGCTACATAATCCTTCAGACTGGCACGCGGCAGTCAGGCAGCGCTGCGCCCTCTAGCTGATTGCTTGTGCCCTATTCTCCCTCTTCCCCCTTCCTCCCCTCCCCCCTCCCCGCCCCCTCCTCTATGGCGCCCATCGCTTGCAGGTTCC